CCTAAATAAGGGGACCACAATAGAGACCCCAATATACTATAGTCCGTATTATAGGGACCGACAATAAGGTACCCCTAATTTTGGGAAACGGTCATGTTGAATCCGGCTTTGTCCTGTTTGGGCGACCCATGTGCTGATCCCCAGCGCCCTCATGTTAGATGCGTGAGGCGGTGGGCCCAAGCGTGTGTGATATCAGGGGGAGCAGAGTAAGACCTTGGCATGCTGCAGCGAAGTTGGGTGCTTGCACAAGTCAAAATTGTTGGGTGCCTCGTTTGATGAACCTGGCGAAGGGTGCAGCACTATAAGAACCCTCTATTCCCCGAGCCACAGACATCCCCATAGTAATCGCAACCCATGATGCGAGTCGCTACTGTCCTACCCCTACGAGAAGAGGAACTCGTGGCTTTGAGAAACTTCATACGGCACGCTTGGTATAAAAACAGTCGCACCCTGAAAGCCTGAGCCCTATACCCTTGAACGGCCCAGGCGCTCCGCATAGCCTGTAGACTTTGGGGGACCAATCTGGGTATTGCTTACTGACTTAGAACCCAAAGCCTGTAACCCAGTCCCAAACTCTTGCATATAAAGCATAACCATCAACCCTCAGAAGCATAGCCCCTAATCCTGATACAACGATTTTGATAACCTCCAACCCCCACGAGTCGGACCCCAGTACAGTCATCCACTACTGCGGTTTTAGGCATAGTTAGGGTCCTAAGTTCGGTGGTTCCGGTTCCCAAAACCCTCTCGTACAACCCTTAACCTCGCACGCATCACCTCAACGTCCAAACACCGAAACCCATTCAAACTCTAACTCCTCCGCCGGCCTTGTAGTTGCCTGGGAAACGCACCACACAAGACGGAAGAATGGCAGGCTGCAAGGTTCATGCATAACCATGGTGGAGTGGATGAATAAACCTATAGGTTTAGGCTACAAATAGCCATTAAGTGTGGACTTTAGACGACACTCGGAGCCAGAGGAAAATTTGGGGTGAGGGCTTGCGAGTTGAGTCTTAGGTTTCTTCTTTTAGCAATTTGCACATCTGATGGTTTCAGTGCTTAGGGTTCAGATTTGTGGATTCATACGCTTTTGGGGTTTTCTCACCATAGTAGGTCAGGCGTGAGGATCGTCGGTGCGGCTGAATTTTATCACGCCAATCTTGACGAGCTTGTCTTGAATGACACCCGGTGCAGTCTCCAGAGAATCTTACACCAGTTCACGCAACAAGTTGTTGGCGTTGGGAATCAGGGCGGGGAGCGAGAGCGCTTGAGATCTAGTACTGACAAATTTTAGCACACAAGACTCCAGAGAATGCAGCTTCTTGCTGCTACGGGCAGCGTGCTCCCTTCCAATGCCATGGTGAGAAGTCTGGTGAGGATCCTCATATTTGCAGTCCTTACAAGCGAGCTTTTCGGGTTAACCCTAAACCATGGACCCTAAACCCCTCAAACCCTACGTGCACCCTCAACATCCCTCAACCTTATAACCCAAAACCCGAGCCCTGAACTCCAAAACCTCCTGAGTCCTAGGCCATGTCACGATCTGGGTCAGGAAGTCCCACAGTTGTTTAGGGTTAGGGTTTGCCCTGCGGTACCCTACGCCTTTACCCTAAGCCCTCACCTAAATCCCCAACAGTAAGTAGAATACTGGCTTTGTTGGCGATTTTTAGGGGCTGAGCGCTATGAGTTTACCTACTTTCGGGGTTTAGGCGACCCTATTCCCACCACTTAAAATCTAAAACATGTACACCCTTACTCTCCACCTTTGCAACCGCGGTGCAGAAGAGGCGGTGCGTGATTGTTTTATGCGTCCTTCCAGGGGCTACAAAGATGGGCCTCCATGTATCGTGCGGCCCCCATACGAGGTTTCTGAAAACGAGGGGTCCTGCTATAGGGTCCGCAGGACCCTAGGAGCAGGCGGGGCTACAAAGGAATTATGGGGTAGCTTTTGACAAGCTCCATGGAAGTGTGCCTAGATCATCTATACGTGATACACAGAACTACAGGGCCACGTGTTCCACTTATTTGACCTGGTCCCCCTGTGCCATTCGTCTACCTTATCTTACCTCTCTTGGTACCCTGATCCAGCAAAGTAGCACTGGGGCACATGTTTAGGGGCCAGCTTCGGCCTAATAAGATCGGCATGCCGGCGAGGAGGGTTTATGTGGGGTTGGGGGGAGTAAGGTTTCGGCACCAGCGGTTGGGGTGAAGCTTTCTCAAGTATTAAGGTTCTGAGAATATGGTGCCAATCAAGGTCGCTGCATGTAAGTTTGAGGTCCGGCTAAGACAACGCGTCCATTCTTGGGGGAAGGTACGATCATGACAATGGTCTGTCTATGCCGCTGCAGTCTTGATAAGCCATTTGGGGTCAAGGGCTCCAAGGTACTAAGACTTACTTGGGTTTTGGAACTTCCGCCTGAGTGTGCACGCAAGCTTAAATGCCAAGATGCGTCAGGCTTGGCGGTGGGAATGAATTTGAGGCTTCGTTAACGAGCTCGAGGTTCTGACGTTAAGCGCCACAAGCTTTCCAGTCGCATGGCTCAGACTTATGGATTTAGGAGTTGACGGCGTGCACATCCCTACACGCTAAACTCTGAATCCCTAACCCCTGCGGTTCGTGATGTGCGGCTTGTGGGCGGCTTAATCCGAGCACTACATCAATAAAAGGGACCATATCTAAAGAAAAAACATTGGCTGGAATTAGCCGGCAAAGACTAGCTAGAATTAGGTGGCTTTTCGTCAGGTGAAAAGGGACTAGATTTAAAGAACATTTTTGGGGGACCTATCCTAGTAGTGGATTTCAGGAAGTAAGTTTTAGCTACAGCTACTGCAAAAAGACTGGCAGCTGCTGTTCAGTCTCGAGTTTACATTAGTAGAAACTAATTCTGCATTTAAGCTCCAGCTCCATTAGTCCTTGCTTTTGCTTACTGCTTTCTAATTTTTGAACAGAAGATGTTCACGAAATCCAGGCCCTTCAGGAAGCTATAGTTTCTTATATGCTCGC